AAAAACTATCAGGTCTGTGCAGTGTCTATGACATCTATGTACCAAGTTTCATTGAAATGTGACAATTACTACTTGAAATATCAAAAGCTGAAAATTAATTAATTATGCTAATTAGGTAATTAATATCTACTGATATTACCCTAAAAACTTTCAGGTTTGTGCAGTGTCCTATGACATCTATGTACCAAGTTTTATTGAAATGTGATGATTAGTACTTGAGATATCAGTGGAAAAGCCAAAAATTGATTAATCATTATGCAAATTAGGTGATTAATATTGCACAGATTTTTACCCAAAACTAATCAAATCTGCGCATTAGTTTGGAGCATCTGTGTGCCAAGTTTCATCAAAATCCAATGAGTGGTTCTTTAGATATCAGTGGAACAGTCATGAAACAGCCAAAAACCAGCTAATTATCATGCAAATTAGGTAATTAATATGCATGGATTTTTACCCAAACCTAATCAAATCTGCGCATTGGTCCAGAGCATCTATGCACCAAGTTTCATCAAAAACTGATGTATGGTTCTTGAGATATCAGTGGAACAGACGGACACTCATACACATACACACACACATACACACATAAAGACAAACTAACTGCAAAGACTCCTTTTTTGTGCTTCGCACACGGGAGTCAAAAACATGATCAACTTGTATTGACAGTGTGATCAATGAAAAAAAATCTGCCATTTTGTTGTTGTTTACACATCCCATAATAAACATTACTGTGGAATACTTAGTACTTTATTTTCGCTGGAATTAATTTTAACTGAAAGAGCTTCTTGGGCGTTTCGTATGGAATTTATTTTCACTGATTTTTGATGAGTTTAATGTGAAATATAGAAAAAAAAGTATATTCGCTGGATTTTATTTTCACGGAATCATTTCCTCAGCGAAAATAGCGAAAATAAATTCCAAGCAAAAATAAAGTATTCTACAGTATGCTAATTCAGCACACAGGAAATCGTAAGTTATCATAGGGTTAGGTTTAAGGTTATACAGAGGGTTAAAGTTGTGGGGTTAGAGTATACCAGGTCTGCTAACCCCCACCCCATCTTTTAAATAGGGGAAGGCAATAAAAAAACTAAACTAAAACAACTTCTCCACATTAAAAAAATTCCATAAAATTTTGCAGAAAAATGGCATATAAATAAAATGCTATCATGCCTTTCTTCTCTTCCCCAGAACAATCAAAATATTACAATCTTGTTCAGAAATATCTTGTAAAATTTGTCACAACTATCCATTGTTAAATAAGCCAAACAAACTGTTTGTCTACTTACCCATCACTCGGTAGTAACTTCCACTCTTTTGCCCAGGCCATCCATTTATCATTCTGGTGGACATTGTTGAACAAAAATGGCGACAATACATAAATTAAAATGACATGTTCGTGTTCTTGTCGCTTGAAGGGATATGCCATGACGTCTTGAAACCACATTTTAGAACTTCCAGAATTGGTGGTGGCTAATTTTCTTTTGTTCACTTCCATGTCACTGTCCTGTATGAAGGAATTATTGAACAGAATCTCATGAAGAATTGCTACAAGAAACTATCACACTAATAAAATTAATGGTTATGTCAGATGTCAACAGACAGAAACAGAAAATGACACAAGACACCACGGTTACTAAAAAAGACGGTTAGGAAATGAACCATGTTCTTTTCATTGGATGCATGTTGCGGGCAAACATTTGAAACAAAAGACATACTAATCTGTGATAAATCATTAACATAAAATGTAGACAGGAAATCACGCAAATATGACGTAATTTTTCCCAGAGTTCATTACAATCAACAACTGCACGCCATTTGATTGTGTCTCTGTCGATACTTTCAGTAATACTAAAGTGTAAGTTGTTCCAGTGAATCTTGACAAAACCTGTCGCTCGGTTTAAACTCAATACAAATTTGTCTGTCTTGTATGGCATTTTTGTTTCTAAAGAACAAGATCGGCAGAAAACTGAAATAAAATCAAAGAAAGCTTAGAAAGAACTCCCGTGTGCTGAGAGTATTGAAGACACATTAAAAATTAATTAAAAATTACCTGTACATGAGATATTGATAGAAAAGCTGAAAACTAATTATGTACATCAGGTAACTAATATGAACAGAACAGAACAAAAAAATTACGAATTATTATGCTAATTAGAGAATTAATATGAACAAATTTTAATACAGGTTTAATGTGTAATATTAAACCATGTTTATGACTCAAATCTCATGCTCTCTCGCGTGATATTTACATAGATCTCGCACTTTCTCGCGTGGCTCAACATCACAATCAGTTTGTTTCTGGCGCCATATTGGAAGTAGCCTGAAAGTGTTACGGAGCTTCTGCCATTCTCGTTTTATTCACTCGCATCTTCAATTTCCGCAACTGAAGTAGTAATTCATCGTGAAATGGACAGCCACAGTATGGTTACACGCCGTAGAGGCAGAAAGCGACGTGAAGTCACAGATACGGCGAGCGAAGTTGGTAGCAATCCCGTATGCCGGACGCAAAACTCGACGAACAACAACTTTGGATCCCGAAAACCCTGTTAATTGGACTACACCAGTGTTACGCGAAAAGTTGCGGCAACTTGGAATGAAACTGCCACCGAGCATGAATAGAAAAAGTTTAATCCAAGTCTATGAACTGAACCGAGTAGACGATGATCGTGTTGAAACCGCGGCTACTACCACAGTCGGCACAGCTAACAATAATACCCCGCCCCTACTGTCACCACCGAGTGGGGAGTCATCTGGCAATAATAATACGGATCGTGACGGCAATAATATGGCTACTATTCGCCGAGAAATTGAGGACTTGCGACAAACTGTTTTACATCTTACTGAAACTTT